AACTTTCACAGGGAATTATGGTGAGTTTCTGTGGCTCTCACTCCCTTTTTCATTCCTTAATTACTTCCTTCTCGCATCGGCAGACACACAATGCCGAGAACATCCGCAGCCGCCCAAGAAAAGCGGTTAATTGTTTTTTTCGTGTCTTTTCGACCGAATTCGGTGGCGTGCACGTCAGCTGAGACAGTGGCACACGTCAGCACCGCGAAAAACCAAGACGTAAAAGAGAGAGCCCCGATCCCTCCCGTGGTGACCGCAGTGCAGGGGCGCAGTGAAGCATCTCCCCCTGCCAAGCAAACACGCAGGCTCAACGCCATCGTCAAGAACAAACCGACAAAACAACAACCAACGAACCAACAAAAAAAAACACTGAACAAATACACACAAAAAAAGGGTGATTCGCCTCCAGTTATTGCTAGAGGCAAACAATATAACAAACAAAAATGGACGGAATGAAATACATGAAGACACCGCGGTGCTGGCGCCGAAAGAAGAGCGCAATTTGTGGGTACAAGAAACAAAAAAAAAGGCGGAAAATGAAACAAAATGCGTGTCTACATGAGACTTTATTTAGTGCAAAAAGTAGGTGGAGAAACGGAGATGCTCTCAGTAGAAGCATAAACTCCCCTCCACCGGGGCCCACTCAGCACAGGGCAACAAAACCCTATAGCCCCAATAGCAGCAGAAGTAGCCGAGACACATCCGCACGCGTGGAGTTGTCACCTGTACGCTACTGTGTTGCATGGGAGTCGTCAACGGTTTTGAGTTCCTGCTTACTTAGTTGGCGGTTGTACAAAAAGACGTTCTTTATTGTCACACTGCTGTTTTCGCCGCCACCAAAGTAAAAGTGAGTGATATCGTGCCTCGGTTCCTCAAGGGTTGGTAGTGTGTCAGAACTCCCCACAATCACACCGTCCACGTACACGGAGCCCTCGTTGCCCTGCAGCATGAGCGCCACTTTGTACTCCTTCCCCGGCTCCCAAGTGCTGTTGTGTGTTGTTGTCGTGATGCCGTCGAAGACTGTCCCCCACCGTTTCTCCGTCGTGTACGACAGCGCCATAAACGCCGTGATTTCATCTTCACCGAGGCTCGCGTGCACAAGAGAAGAGCTCTCTTTCGGAACCTCATCGATGGTCACCGTCACCACAAGCGTAAACTCGTAATCCACAAAGCCGTGCACATTGTGATGCTTCCACATGTTCACCGGCCATATGGCGTATGACCCAAACCCCGTGAACTTAAAGCCATTTTCAACCTTCTTTGCATTCGTCACAGTTGCATTCACGCAACGGTACGCGTCGTTCCAAGTTCCTTCACCCGATGCATCCGACAAGAACCCAACCAGACCGGCCGTGGGCACAGACGAGTTGGAGAGGAAGGAGTCCAGTTTTGCCCAAGTCTCCAAGACGGACGTGATCGTCTTCAGCTGCTCGGGTAAAGAAGTAAAAAGCATGCTGCTTGCCGTGTGATCGCTCCTCGCTTGTAAAAGGTGTAACGCATCTTTCAAGTGCAGCAGGGTGTTCTCAGACCCCAACCCATCTTTCCTGTCCCTGGAAATGCACCCGACATGAAACGTGCGGTTGTTGTCAGTGGCCCAAATGCAGAGCATATTTGCCATCATCTCCTCAGGGAGAATCCCTTTCTGAGTGTACAGCATGACCTTCTTTCCAGCAATGGTCGCAGTGATGAGGGCCTTCACTCCCGCATCCGTTGGAAACACGTGCGAAATAAACCTGGGCTGCACGCGTGTGAGTATCCTGACAGCCCTCCTCCACGTTGCCCCCATGTCCCTCGACTCGTACACCCTGGAGAGAAGATAGCGTTGCACAATCATGAGAAGCTGCCCCTGCTCCCATTCCACGATGAGGGGGTCAGTGCACCGCGGGGGGAGCATCCCTTGTGAAAGCAACCAATTTTTGCCGTCGTCCTTCGAATAAATGATCATGGAGAGAAAATATTTTTCTCGTGTCTTCATCACCGTCACAGGAAACACAAGCGTGCCATCCTCCATCACAACGCCTGGGCCGCCACTACCAACAAACTGCTCCACGCCACGTTGTTTAGCAAATGGTTCGATCTGTGGCAAAAGCGAGGTGGGTTCGCCCCATTGGATGACTTTATCTTGCGTGACCTCACCCACAAACAAATCAAAACCCTGTGAGGGTGCAAGCCACCTCTTCGATGAAGCATCATATTTCTGATTATACCCTCCCACAAGTATGAATATTCTGTTGCCCTTCGCAATTGTTGTGGGTGCATACGCGTATCTCAGACCGTTGTTATGCTCCTCTAGCAGGGCCGTGTAAAAGATGTTGTACGCCTTCCATTCGTTTAGTCGGACCTCATCAACAAAAGACGACCAGTTTTCTGCAGGGTCAATGTACCCCGCCACAACATCATAAGACATGGGCCAATTTTGTTCATAAGTAGGGTATGCAAGCATGGTGTAGCTCTGGGCGAAAGCAACCAAGACTCCACCAGCACTGGCAAGGGAAGGTGAGACTAAATATTTCCATGCTCTACTTTGACCTTGTGTTTCCACGATCCTTCGACGCGGCACAAAAAGATTAGCATCCTTTGGCGGCTGCACGTCTTTTGGCGTACTTTTCTCCTCAGCGTGCACAGCCGCACTGGCAAAGCATAACAACAGCACGCAGAGAAGAAGCACCGAAAAAGAAAACATGTGCAGGGACATGTTGAGCATGTGTTGCTGCTCACTCATTCTCTTCCTTCCTCCTTGTGGTGGATCCGCTCAGGCCCCAACGATTGTGTGTGTGCGTGTGTGTGTTACTGGTGGTGACTGTAGCGCCTTTCAATGTGCACGGCAGCGAGTGGCGTTTGGTCTCTTTCCTTACGAGCGTGTTGAGGGAAGAAAAAATGAGGTGAAACCAAAAAAAGAAAAAAAACGAACATAACGATAGGCACCACCCGCGCCCACGGTTGGGCACCCCGCAAAAAAACAGCGACAATCCATAATGAAGGTCAGACCGACAAACGCGGTGGCAGCGACTGTTGTGCGCAGCCCGAAGAAACACCCACACGCACCCGCACGGAGAGTCCGCAGTGTGGGACGCCCCCGCATAAATCAAACAATAAAAAACAAATTCATGAACACCTCGCTTACCGTCTCCCCCGCCCAGCCCCTTCAAACCCCGCCAGCAGCAACACGCAGTGCGCATGCCGGCAGGGCCTCCCATCACGGCCCCCACAAAATCCCCAACGCCGCCACTTCCCTCAGCACACTGCAGCAGGAGTGGGGCGCAATATTTAAAAAATAAAAACAATAAAAAATAAGCCCTGCGGAATAAGAGCGGCAGCCTCTTTTCCTGCTGCTTCGTTCGGCCCAAGAGCGAGGGCGACACCAGCGCAGCCGTAGCCTCAGACTGCCTGGTCAGTGCATGCAACCTGAACAAGACGGAACAGGCACATGCGCCCAGGACGGCAACCCAACAAAAGAGAGGCGCCAACGGTGTTTGCTCGAGGCTCTCAGCGGTGCATGCGGCACCCCCCATTGGAGCACAGACGAACCAAAAACGATGGCACCCAAAAAAACAAAAAGAAAAACACCACGCCAACGCACAAAAACAATCACAATAATTCGGTTTGCCCCTGACCTCTGGGCTGTGGTGGCCGCCGCATTTGCTTTCCCGCCTGTGAGTCCACTCAGCATGCAAAACTTACCCTCTCGCCCAAACTCTCTGCAGCAACAAACTGGGAACAGCGAGGAGATATCACCAATGGAACACTGCCGGCGTACACCCACAAGGCGCCATCATTCCCCACACAATTTTACTCGCAACCACAACAAAAAAAAAGGTGCTGCTGTGGTAGCGCTGGCCATAATAATCACTTGGCGCACGGCAGAGCGAGTCCCTAATTACGCCTCCTACCCACGCACAAACACACTCGGCAATATATAATACTCCCTAAAATACTTCACCAGTAAACTCAAACTGTTTATTCCCCTCCTCCTTTTCCTTCTCCCTCTGGGTGTCGCCCACGTTGGGTTTGTCGTTCACTTCTGAAATTTTCAGCTGATACCGCTACCTCGCACTGACGCACCTGCTGATTCCAAAATGCCGCAATGGCCTGAGGGTCCTCACGCTCATTGCTGCCCGTTACATTTGCGTGCGCGACGACAGCACATTGCTGCCACGCGTTTATTGCCGTACTGCCCTCATGCTGCACGTAAATAATCTCCCACGACAAGCCTTCCGCAAAAGTTTCCCAGTCATTAAAATAACTCCATAGAAAATTGTTGAACTGCCTCACCGCGCTGGTTCTGGTGCCATGCTCAGCCCTCGTCGTCTCACCTGCACCGCAACCATCGTCCTCCGCGGTGCACCAACGAAGAAAAAACCGTCCACAAACGGAAAATGTCTGCTCTCCGGTACGTATAGCACCTTGTATTGTACATCCAACCTCGGAGGATCGTGGTCCAGCGTTATCAATGCAACGGGTATGCTTGGATGCTTTTCGAGGTTCGATTGCTGCACACATCTCTGTCGTCGACGACGTCCTGGTGGAGGCAACTCGTTGAGGCCCGGCATTATATTTTCCACAAAGCCTCTACGCAGGAATGTGTGCAGAGTATGCTGCTCCAAAAGTTCCGGAATTAACACTTCGCAGTGCTTACATAGTCGAAAAAAAAGTCATTCTTCTCATCCACTTTGAGCAACTTTGCAATTAATTTGCTTTCAATGGAAAAACAGACCGGCAGGTTAACAAACCCCTCAACATTGCCTTGTCTTATTACTCTGACAACTTTCACAAGTTTGTGAGGTGCGTCATTCGAGGGCCGCATTCCCATGCCCCCAATCATCCCATAATGTACAGCATTTGAGGCGTCGATACCTTCCAGGATGTCCTTGATTTCCTCCACGCGGTCCTTATACTCATTGAATTGAAAGATGCATCGCGGAATCGGTCCAACGTCATCCATGCGCATGTGCATCCTTCTCCAATACTCCACCTGCTCCTCCTCAGTCGTATTGCGTGTCTCCCACGCACACATCGCCTTCACGTCATTTTCATCGGGGCAATTCATGATGATTTTGATAGCACCCGCCTGATTCGCCCATTGTTTGAAGTTATTTTCGTTCGGGGATGACAACATAATGATGCCCCACTCAGGGGAGGGCACAACATCATTCGATGGTTCGTTAAGTTGTCTTGCCATATCGATGATGATATACCCCTTCATTCCACTCCCAGCCAAATTTACCATAACCCCTCTAATATTATTCTCACCCCTGTATTCTGTCACCGTTCGTGTCCTCCTGTCAAACAAGTATGCGAAATCCCTTCCAAAGCAGTACACAACCACATGGAGCTTCGTGGCGTCGTGGTGCAGCAGCTGATAAAGGAGGTAGGAGCCAGCCGCCATTGACTTCCCTATCCTGGGGGTTCCAATCAAAAGACGGCGTCTCATGCATGGTGGGCCTCTCTCTGCAGGGAGAAACACTCCTTTTAGATCGCCCTCGACGATCTTCCACACCCGATGCACCTCAATGTTAATGTAGCAGTCGGCAATAGGCACTGCATGGTTCAACGAGTACGGCCATCGCTTTTCAAAGGAAAGGATCATGAGTCGTGGGCGTGGTGGAAAGAATTGCTCATCACCACCCACTGAGAAAAAAGTACGCACAGTCTGCGTGTACTCCCACAATAACTCTTGCGGCCGTTGGCCCTCTATTACCTCCATGTCTTCCCCTTCGTCCTCGGGAAATCCCATGACGTGACTCCACGTTGCGTTAAACACGGACTCGTAGAATGCCTCCGGTGATGGTCCTCTGGGGCGTATTTCGGCTTCCCGTGTTGCCCCTTCCTCCTACGCTAGTTGAAGAGCTGCCTTCAGTTTTGTTCGTGTAATAGCAGAGACAATACTCCTTATCTGTAAATTCCTTCCAGTCTCGCAGCGTGGCCACCATGCGCTCCGTAAGCTTGCGTGCATCTTCAAAAAGCTGATACCCTAGTGGAATCGAGGATTTCCCCTCACGACGCCTCTGCTCTGTAACGTACCTGTCTGGCCCACGCACAAACACCTCCATTGACACATTTTGGTCTTCACCCACCACTCTGTTGGGGCCAACGTACTGTCGAAGGAAGTCGTTCAGCAAAATTATATTGATTTGGCCAACCCGCACATTGCGGACATCCTCGATAGAGCCTGCAAGCGTCCTCCTTGGCCGCTGCAGCGCTCCTTCCACCCTTCGGCACTCTGTGGGGGGCTCATACGAGCCGCCAGACAGCCCCGACCCCGACAAAAGCCGCTCTTGTAATAGAGAAGGTAGGGAAGATCTTGCACCCCTAAAAAGCCTCACCCACCTGTTTACAGACATCATTCCCTTTATTATTATTTTGTTTTCCTTCGTATTTTGTCGACTTGGCCTTAGCTGCAGCACAATACAAACAACCAGTCAAAACGATGAATGAAAGAACAGAGAAACAAAATTACGCATAAACACGACTCTACGCGGCTGCAACAAAAGAGAACATACCACTCACACAGTACACGGCGCACACCTCACGCACACGCAGGAGGACCACCACGACGGCAATGTGAGTGCCCCACGCACCGCAGAGTGTTGAGGAGAGTCAGCGACAACAACAACGTGGTGGGTACGAAGGGCTTCTGCCCGTGAACCCCGCCGGCCACCGTCCCACACCGGCGTGATCAACGTCTCTGCACACACACACACACGCAAATAGGCACCCCCAATCCCGCACAGCATGAAACACAAAAAAAAGACCAAAAAAGAATAAAACGCTCCACACAAAACGTAGACGGCGCCTGCCGCCCACCACAACCCACACCCCACACATCCGGTGCTGTTCCCCACAAAAACAGGGCCGCA